AGAATCAGCGCTTGCAACAGTAACAGTGAGAAAACAGCAATGCTGTGTCATTGCTCCTTATCCATCATTGCCATCACTTTATGTCTGCTGTACCTGAGTGGTCTGGGTTTGTCCTTCATCTCCAGTGTGTCGACATCTTTCTCGGACTCTGATCCGGTCTCTCCCAGAGTCTCGGGGATCTTTCTCAGCATTGGTGTGGAGCTGCTGCTCACCATTCGGGTCAGCGCAGTGACACCGGGTGCAAACCACTGAGAGGGACGTCTGAGGAAAATTACAGAAACTTGGAAAATTACAAACAGGCATGAGTCACAGACAATTGTCTTCAGAAGCTGATTTAATTTATTTAATTGATTGATTATCAGTAAAACCAATTTCTGTAGTCTAGACTACATAATAGCTATTACATATTTAATGACTGACCTGGTTGGTTGTGTGTGACCTGTCGGGCTGGTGGGAGTTTTGGAGGCTCCAAAGAGCCGGCCCAGACCCCAGGGAACCTGAGTACTACCGCTGACTGGAGTGTAGTCGCTTCCTGCCCGAGCCTGGAGATCTGGCAGATCTGTGTTCATCTCATCCTTCTTCACTGCAGAGAGGCTCAACTCAGCCAGATTCTGACTCAGTCGGCCTCCCCAGCGCACCACAGCACCCCATCCTTGTTGAATTACCTGTAAATAAAAAAAAACAGATAAATTAATTTCTGCATAATCACACAATCATCATTGAATAGAAAGGCAGAGGAGTTGAACAGTTGTGGCTACCTGTCCTGCCTGCTGAGCGAGGCTGTCTTCCTCAACGTTAGGAGGAGGCAAATCTTCAATTTCTTTTTCCTGGACCCACAACAGTTGAGGACTCGTCTCCTCCTGAGTGACTGAAGCCTTTATGGGTCCAAAACTGGTATCTGTTGACGCTGCCGATCCTCCATTATCTGAATTAGTCACAGGTGATGATTTAGCATCTTTAGCTGCCTGATGATCTGGGCTTCCAAAGTCTACTTCTGAGAGGCTTTCACTGTATCTGCTGTCTGGAGTTTTGGATTGAGACCCATTTATTGCTGTCTCATTTGTTGAAAGCTGGGATCCAGGATCCGGAAAGGGAGGGCTGGAGATCTCTGGCCTGTGACTCTCTGGCTCTAAATGGTGGTGCTGGAAGAGCAGGTCGAGGTTGAAGGTGAGCAGGCTCAGAGGCTGCAACACAAGGAGCAGCTCCTCAAACAGAGGCTGGCAGGCGGTCTGCGACAGACGCATAAAAGAGGTGGGGTGGTAATAGGTCTCCAGCACATCTGAGAAAAGAGAGCGCGCGAGAGAGCGAGAGGTCAGTTTCAGTATTTACATTTATGCTTGTAACCAGATTTGCACCACGACATGAAAATAATGGCATTTATCGCTGCTGTCAATGTAACGTTTACAGAATCCAACTAAACAAATTCAGGACGTAAACACATGTCCACAGCTGAAGTGCTTCGCTTTCCTTCTCTCTGGATGATTCATTTACTGAATCAATTGGAGATCTTCGAGTTTGAGAGTTAAAAAATGTGTAAAAATGAGTCTGGTTGCTCAGCAGGTGACCACGTACCCTATGGTCAGTGTTCGGTGTCTTCCCCCTTTCTCTCTCAACACTTACCTGTTTTCTTCTGTAACCTCATCTTACAGTGTCGCAAATCACCTGCTCTAACTTTGAACTGTGGACAGGTTCTTTTTACATGAACGCGTGACTGCTCTTCTCAATCAGCCCGTCACAGCAGCTGCTGTGGAGCTCACCTTTGCAGGAAATTCTGAAGTCACTGATCAGGCAAGCAGTCTCCTGATACTCTGAGTTAATTTAATTTATTCATCAAAGAGGGGAAAATTCCCTGCATTTGCATCCCCACCCTGGCAAACTGCACCCTGCTCATAACTGCAACAACTGCTAGAAGAGAGGAAAACTTACCACTGCAAGACTGAAGGTAAGACAGCCAGAAGTCAAGAAGCTTGGTACTACGAGACAAAAACAGAAAGAAGATGAGTAACGAGGATACAAAGAAGATACGTGCACAGAAATTATTATGCAGTTTAGGCCGGATTTACTAAGTGGAGCAAATTACCAAATGCAGAAATGCGCCCATGGGAGTGGAAAGTTATGTGGGTGATCTGCTAACAATGTGCTAATTTATAAACAAGAATGCAGGCAGTTGATTTCAGCATTCTGCAAGAGCAGCACAAATTAGCAGGTTAAAAACAAGCAGCCTCGATGAGGGTGTAGTAAAACAGTGCAAGTACAGGTTTTACTCAAGTGTTTCTCTCTGAAAACAGTGAGAGAATTCAGGAAAATGACAAGCAGTTGGAGGAGAGACAATATCTTTAATATAAGGTTGAACTCCACTGTTAGAAATGACTGAAGACTGAGTGTGAACCTGAGGACTGAGACTCCGGTGGAGCGCAGACGAGAGCTGCGTTACTACAAACTATGTGTAACAGCTGACCTGCACCATGTGTAGGAGAACACAAATCACTATTTATTGTCGGTGTCTTATTGAAGATACTGTTACTGTGCCGCTATGCAAGTGCATGATCTGCTTTTTTGTTTCCTGCAGGCTGTATGAAGCGCTAAATACCTATTTCAGTCAATATTACATATTGTAAGATGAAGACATTTTTCTAACACATTAACAAAGATCCCGTTTTCATTTCAGCTCCACATTCCAATGTGGTATGTAACAGCTCTAATAGAGAGGAGCAAAAATAAATAAATAAACTGAAATGAGACTAAATGCCTGAAACACTGAAAACCATCAGCTCACTCTAAAATATAACCCTGTTGCCTATTTAACATCAGGACTCTTCAGTTCACTTCAGTTTGGTTAAGTTAGGCTCCACTTCATCAAAATACCAGTATTACTACGGACCACAAATATGTGGAGCTCAGATCTAAGCGTGCAGAGTTAAGACCGAGCGAAGAGTTACAGGATGTAGTCGAACCTTTTACACACACTCACAACTTTGACCCATCCACCCATGTCGTTACGTACTCACACTGGTATCCTGTCATTCCAAATAAATGAACACTGCTAATGCAACTATCACAACAACACCAGGCACAAAATATAACAAGTCTTTTTTCTATGTTCAATTTACTGCAATTTGAGGTAAAATGAATGCCACAAAATGGTTTTGTGGTTGCGCAGAACCATTAGTAAATCTGGCCTTATGAGTGCAATAATAAAATAAATAGCGTGCTCTTAAACGAGTCGTCAGTGGAGATCAAGGATTGTTAATAGCCACTGCTTACTTCAGTAGGCCGAGGAGGAATGCGTTGAACCTGTGTTTGCTCTGTCTGAGCTGGGGTAGCTCTCCAACTCGAACTTGCAGACTGAACAAGGCATGAGTTTTAGGACCTTGGAAGATCGGTTGGGAGGAAGAGGATAAAATGCACAGAGAGAGAGAGAGAGATCAATGAAGGACCTTACAGAAGTGAGTGAAAAATTGCTGTGAAGCTTGGCACTCGTAGGCCAATCAATATCTGTGTCCTGGTGTTCACTTTATTCAGCATTTTAGACGATAAAATCAACAAGTATTGACTGATGTGGGAGAAAAGTGGAGACAGACGAATTGCAGAGTTTATCACTATCAACCAGGAAACCAAACCTCAAGAGGAACAACAGGATAATATCTGATTTTTAATATCCACGGCTATGATGCATGATATGCTACCTGCCCTGGTTGAAGCCTGGACCAGACTCCAAGCAGAGTTTGGCCTTCTGCCTGCAATCAGGTCACTCTGGTAGGGTTTCAAGCCATCAGTCAGCAAGCTGTGGAGGGCGGGGCAGAGGCACTGCAGCACCAGACGGCCCAGTGATGGATTTATAGCGCTGTCTCCTGATAAGGCCTGAGGAGAGGAGAAGAAAGGAAGGGAGCACGGTTTGGGGGGGAAAAAAATGGGTAGTTGGTGAGAAGGAAGATGTGCAGCGATTGGACAAGAAGATGAAAAGGATGACTCAAAGAGAGAGGGAGGGGTGGAAAAGGGGGATTGTGTGATGATGATCAACATGATGTAATGAGGGATGATTTGGGTGGTGAGTGAGCAGCAAGTTGACAAAGAAATTCTTGTGACTAAGAAACTGGGTTATCTTAAGATACTCTAGTACCCTGTTAACTGAGGAAGACTGGAGGAAGGCACACAATAGTCAAAACAAGAAGGAAGAGGGGACATATTTTCAAAGGTACATAATGAATTTAATACACCATGACGTTTAGCCAAAAAAACATAGATTATAAAGGGTGACTAAAAATGAAAAAGCACACAGTCCTTCTAGCTACTGTCATCAAACCAGCAGGTACTGACCTTCTGAACCACAGTCCTTGAAGAACTGAACTGGGCCAATATGGCTTCCACTGCCACACTAACTGCGCCTACCAGGGCTAGAGAGGAGAACCGGGTGTAAAGCTGGTTAGAAGAGCGTGCACAGACAAACAAACGCACATCCTGCACATGTACATCCAACCCCACCTTTCTTTTCCTGTAGGCACAGAGAGGATAGGCCAAGACCTCTCATTGGATGCTTCACATCCTCGCCCATCCAGGGTGTGTCTGTCTTCAGCACAGAGCCAGCGAATGAGACACTGCGAACAGCTGACAGCGATGGTAAACAAAACCCCAAATAAATATATATCGCAATTACTTTGTATGCAAGTGATAAAAAAAAAATACAAATTAACAAACTTAAAAAAATAATGAATCGCCACCAAAAGAAACAAAACAACTAAAATATTAGCACTATTAGCAGGAGCAGTTAAGCAATGAAGAAGCCAGATAGAAGCAGATGGAAGCAGTCGTTACTGCTGACGACAAACAGTGAGCGAGCACATCCTGTAGGATTACTGTGATGAGGTTTTCACAACTGGATCTGTGAACACAACTTTTTGTCTGCTTCAGGGCTAAACAGGATCCCATGCAATTAACCTCAACTCACACAAACACAGTTATACAAATACTCACATACTTAATATAGGCATACACGGAGGAACTGCAGAGCTAGGAACAAACAAGTGTAGGAACTACCACAAGAACCAGGTCAGAAGAAAGTACATCCATGTGCAAAGGGTAGGTGTAAAGTACATTTTGCTGTTTATATAAATGTATTTATATAAACTAGATCGATAAATGCAAATGTGTACAATGGACAGGATGCCGTGGATCTTAACCGAACACAGAACAAATAAAAATGAAAACTTTATTTATTTATTAGCATCACATCATCATCAAGCAGCTACTTAAGGTTCGCTTTGCATGAAATGCACGTGTCTGTGTGGGTACACCATGCAAAAACAAAAAGACGACAAGAACAACATCGGGACAAAGAGACAGACAGGTGAGGAAAGACAGACAGAGAGAGAGAGACAGTGATGAGAGTGACTCTAGACACCTTGTGACAGAAACAGCTGTTACCCTTCTGAAGGCCCTTTGCGGATTTGAAAGGACAGAGCAGATAAGACGTATCAGATGGCCTGCAGGGACGCACCTTCTGATATATAAAACAGCTACAGTTACCTAGTTCTTTCAAATCTGCAAACCCCCGGGGCCATAGGTGACACAAGCGTGTAGGCCACCACATCCAGACGAGAGAAGAGAGACAGAAATAGAGACAGACAGAGAGACAGACAGACATGCGAGATGTCAGACAAGGAGAAAAAGTGTAAGATGTATGGAGAGAGAGAGAGATCTTACTCGCCACGCGTGACTGCAGAGGAGCCTGGTAGAGTTTTGGGGGTAGGGGGGGCGCCCTGGGCGGTATAGGAGGGTAGAGGTTTGGATAGTAGAGGGGAGCAGCGAGGGCAGGCAAGGTGTGCGAGCGGGGGAAAAGCGGGGAGCTGAGGGAGGAGCTTGCTGCACCGGGAGGGGGTGCTCCGGAGCGATGGGGAGGGGAGAGGGCTCCGATAGGAGAGAGGCGGGGGGGAGCCCCCCTGTGAAGAGGGCAGTTCTTAGGGTGGTACAGGTAATAGGTGGGGAGGGGAGGGAGATCTTTGGATGTCCTAGCCTTGATGCTGACCTGGTCTGTGTGTGAGAGTGAGCGCTTCTCTGAATACATCGAATCCCTAGCACCGATGCTGTTTGAATACATCATCATAACATCGATATTCTTATACGGTGTGGTGCAACCTGGAGCTTCAGCGGTGCTGCTAACAGACACGGCGTTGGCATCATTCTGCTTCTCTGAATCACTTTGGTAAAGGGAGTCAAGATTGCAGATTGACTCAGTTGCAAAGTCCCTTTCATTGGTTTTGGGATCGCTGTTATATTGGTAAGCTGAATGTGTGTTTTGCTTAAACTTATCCCCACAGTCACGTGGAGACTCTACACCAAAAGCAGCCGGGGATTCATCTTTAAACCCAGAGCTTATAACAGAGCTCGATTCATCTCTGTGGATACAAGCTGAGTGGACAGCAGGAGTCCACCGTGTGTTTCTGTGTGTGTCTGTGGGCCCTTGGCCTACATGACTGCGGGGCCTGGGATCTGCAAGGGGGTGGGAGTAACAGTAGCCTGGGCGAAAGGAAGGGATAGCGGTGTGGAGGAAGTAGGGTTGGGAGGACTGGGCGAGGGAGAGCGGGGGTGAGGAAACTGCTCGGTTCAAAGGGAGAGCAAGGCCAAAAAGTGCAGGAGTTCGGGTGGAGAGGGCAGACGCACAAGCATAAATGGTAATGAGGGAGCGATGATGCCAAAATGGAGACAACCGAATGGAAACAAACCAAACAGGATGGATAAGTGAGAAAAACAAGGAAGATAAAAGTAAGAAAGAGGCGGCAAAGAAATGGGAAGGAGAGAGAGATGCAGAACATGTTAGTGTCTGTTGAGAGAAAAAATGCACATGTGTATTCTAGCAGTCATCTTCAAAACACCATGCAGTATTTATTCCAGTCAAACGTCTGATTGACAGTTACACACCGACGGTGCATGGAAGTCAATGGAGCTGATTTATGAAGAGCAATAAACACAGTCTTTCGCTTAGGAGGGGTCTGACATGACAGGAAATGACACGGAGGCTGTAAAAGAATAATTACGGAGCAGTCTCACAGCTGCACGGTAGAAGGACTCGGTCTGTCATTCACTCACTTAATTCATCATAATTAAAATGCCATTCCTGAAGAGTCATCCTACTACAACACGTGTTAAGAATCCACGTTTTCTTTGTGACATCAGATTTCTGTTTGACACCTGAGAGTTATGATGAGTGATAACCACAGTCAGTGACTGGTGTTGCTAAACGTTTTGTACTTTACTGCAGTGCGTGCTGTCATCACCTCCAGATCACCTTCTCTCTCACTCTCTGCTTTTAGTTTCTATCTCTCTCTACCTTCTTCCCCACCACCCCTCCCTTCTCCACCAGTACAGCAAAAACTGTACTGCTGAGTCAGTCAACAGATAACAGATTTCTGTTCCTTTCTGCTCAATCATCAGGCCCGCCTTTGTGGAAACTCAGAGTGGCACCCCGACTCTCTTTACACTGTATTTACCTTAAACTATAAAAGGAGCTAGAAAGCAACCATACCTTGGTTAGACTTGAGCTGTGTCTGAACTGCAACAAATACATGATACTTCCTAGTTTTCTGACCCTGGCTGGCAGTAATTGGTCCATGTACTAAGATCCACCCCTTCAGCTCTTAAAGGTGTATACACCTATCCCCCAAACCTACCTCACTGCAGTGGTTTTGAGAAAAGATCTGAAACTTTTAACCTATAAATTTTTAACCTATAAATCATTTAGAAAAAATAATCCAGTCTTGGTTTTAAACACCCTGCTGTACATGAACAACTTAGTTTTAATGTAGCCTAATGTAGGACCATATGAGCTACGTAACCTGATCTGAGCTATCTGTGCTGCTCCAGGGAGCAAAGGGTGGGGTGTTGGGGTGGAGACAGCATAAGTAAAAACACATAAATATCCCAAAACTGGGATTCACAACTATTAGAGAAGCAGAGAGAGAGGGGGGAGAAGGAAAATATTTCAGGATGCCAACAAAGAAAGAAAAAAAAAAAACAGGAAACAGGAAAAAGTCCGATTTAAAGTGAGGAAGGTAGCGAGCTCCATTATTCCTCTCCCCCTCAATCTGAAGAGTGGATGAATAATTGAATAAGTCTGTGATGACATCACACACTGATAACCCGTACAGGAAATACTGGCTGGAAAGTTTCCAACCTCCCCTTTCTCCTCATATTACCTTCACTAGCCTCACTATATTCTTCCATCTCTCACTGTTGTGTTCACATTTCTTACTCCCCTATCTAAAATCACCCTGTTTATCCCATGCCATCGCATCATTGCATCATCCTTTTCAGTGACTCATGTTCCCGCTCCATCTCTCTTCCGTGGCTCCATTTATCATTTCCACAAATGAGTGTACTTTTTTTTTCATTTCCCTTGGCTTTCTGTTTCTTTTCATTGTAATGTCAAAGGATATTATTTGTGCATCACTGAAGAACTGAGCAAGACGACTGTGAGCGTGCCTTTTCCCCATCTGTTCCTCTCCATCATCTGCCCGTCCCAGATCTGTTCTGTCATCCCATTTGCTCTGACTTATTTTTGTGTGTTTACTTTCTTCTATGCACATGCACAGGCAGGACTGTACTTTGTGTTATTGAATATAACTTCCAATTTACTACCATTAAAATCACACTCACCTGAAGTTCTTGATTCAAAAGTCCGTCCTCCATCAGCTTGTCCTCTCACCTCCACCTCCTCCTTCAGTTTGTCCTTCCCTTCTTTTTCTTCCTTCTTAATTTCTTCCCCCTCCCACTCTCTGTCCAAGGTCCACAGGCTGCTGTCACTGACTGAGCAGCCAATCTTCTGTGATGGGCACAACTCTAGTTGCCCCCCCTCCTTATCAGCTCTCTGGAGCATTTCCTGCAGAGCAGCCATTGAGGTGAGGGCTGGCGGCGGCTGCATGAAGAGGGCCTGAGCCTGAGAGGTGTACTCCCACTGGCTGCCATCACTTCCCTCCTTATGTTTCCTCCACTTTAAGTTGTAGAGTATATCTGGATCTGGAGTGATTATTGTGGGGTCAGGATCGGGCTCAATGATCACCTTAGTCGGAGGAGAGGAGCTCTTGTTGCGGAAACGCAACTCTTTAAAGGTTGTGACCTTTGGAGCTGACCCTGGAGAGGTACCTGACGAATTGGGCTTCTTTTGGGTTTCCACATATGCCTTTCTCTTTTCTAGGGGTGGCAGCTGTGGTGGGGCTTCACACTCAGGTGTGAATGCTATCAGCCAATCAAAACGCTCAGGCTGTTCAGAGTTGGCGGGCAGAGTGCTGACTTTGAGGGATGGCAAACATGGAGGAATGGGTGGCAGAGGGCGAGGGGGAGGAGGAGGCGGCGGTGACTCTGGTGGCTCAGCAGAATAACGGGAAGCCCCAAAGCTCACATTCTTTGCTTTATCTTCATGTGTATTGCTTAAACTGTAGTACTGGTCGAATGCCAAGCCAGTGTTTTTCTTCCTTCTCCTAGCCATCTCAGTAAATGACGTTGTTCTCTGTGTGTCTCTGCCCTCCTCTTTCTTTTTGCCTTCTTCAGCTATATCTGCTTTTTGATCTCCCTCCAACTTTTCAGTGCCAACCCATTGATCTCTGGCCACCAGCTGTGTGTCAGGCTCACTTTCCTCTTCTCTGTACCGCAGACTGAACTCTTGTGACTCCAGAGATTTCGGTTTCATGAAATTATCTCCATCTCCCTCGTCTTCTAACCCCCCGACACAGACACCAAGCTCAGGGCTGAGTTTGAGGAGCTCGGCTTGGGTAAGTCCAGCAAGCATGAGCAGTTTCCGAATCTCTACATCCAATGCGTGGAAGGATGGTGGAGGAGGCAGCGCAGGTGGAGGTGGTATGGCAGGAGGAGAGGAAGAGGAGACTGAGATAACAGGTGGAGGAGGGAGTGGTGGGGGGCGGGTGGTAGGTGGGGGGAGGGACATGGGGGTCTTTTCCTGTTCGGCTTGAAGAGCCGCGAGGCGCTGCGCTTCCTTCCGTGCGAGGTGTCGCTTTCGAGGTGGAGGGATAGGAGGTGTTGGGGTGGGGATAGAGGGAGGTGGAGAAGGGGTGGTATACAGAGTGAGGTAAGGAACTGGCTTAGAAGCAGGGAGAGGAGGAATGGATGGTGGAGATGAAGGTAGGGATTTCTCACACCTAAAAGTGGTGAATGTGGGGGATGAGGAGTTAGGTGAGAAGGTAGACAATGTAGGAGAGGTGGAAACAGCGATGGAGGTGGTCTCTCTGCTGATATTTATGTAGGTGTGGAGGTCCGAGCTCACGCTGGCATGTCGCGCTGGAGGTTTTGGGGGTCTAGGTGGCGGTTCAACAGGGGAAGGTGTGAGGGAATCTGGAACGAGGGGATCTTCACAGTCTGACGGAGCGGTTAAGTCGACCCCGGCATCGGAAAACTCCTGAGATTCTCCCATCGTTCCATCATGTGTTTTATACAGCTTCCAGGGAATGTCAATGTTGCCCATTTCATCCATGACATCCGAAAGGTCCTGCTCATCCAGATCTCCAAGATCAAGTCCCTTCTCATGGAGTCTGGCAATGTAGGTCAGTTTTACTTCCCTGTTCACCTTTTCCAAACGATCCAGGTGATCTAAGCGATCCCGCAGAACATCCCAGTGCTGTTCCCCGTCCAGATCCCAGCGAGCCACTTGGATCACCTGGCTGAACCGCTCCATTTTCCCAAATTCTCCGACCGATTCTAGAAAGTCAAGCAAGCCTAATTTGGTGACCTCAGAATCATCTTTGACTCCTAAGTAGTCAGGGGAAGGTGAGTCAAGCGCAGAAGGGTAACCCTCATCTGGGGAGCAAGGTGGACTCGGGGAATGAGATGTTAAACAGAAGGGATTTCGGTTCAGAGGGAGGGATGGAGGTGAGCGAGCAGGAGGCTTGCTATCAGGGCCTTGTAGGAGAGAGTGGTCTTTGGAGGAAAGAGAGACGGACAGATTGTCTTGATCTTGGGAAGAGCAGATGGAGGCAGATTGATCGGCACAGTCAGACTCCAGATCAGAACAGGAGCTGATGGAAGTGGAGGAAGAGGAGGTAGAAGAGGAGAGCGAGAACTCCAGGAGGGAGGGGGGACAGTCGCAGCACGAGGGGACCAGGGTGTCATCATCTTCATCGTCATCGTTATCGTCCTCTTCATCATCAATCTCAATATCCCCGCTGCTCTCTTCCTCATCATCTTCCTCCACCTTTGCATTTTTCTTATTGTCTACTTCAGTGTTTTCATCTGAAATCTTCTCTTCATTTTCCAGACTGGCAGCAGGGCAGGCAGAAATTTCCATCTGGGCCTTTGCCTGTGCCTGCTCCTTGGCCCCGGTCCCATCCTGCCTCAGGGGCATCGGGGCCGGTGGAGGCGGTAGCTGCAGTTGATGTCTGAGGGAGATGGTGTTGTTGTTGTTGTGGTTGTGGTTGAACATGCTGTTGTTGTCCTGCGGGGATCGGCCATCACAGCATAGACACGGGAGGCTCGGCTCGTTGCAGTTCGGGTCAACAGGAAGAACCGAGGGAAGCGGAGGAGGCGGATCCGCTGCGGGTACAATTTGAGTTGCTGCAGATGCACGGGCATTTTTGGGTTTGGGTTTAGCTAGTTTAGAGACAGTAGAACCCTGTTTCTGTGAGCTTAACCTGGACTGGCTCACTGGAGCTCGAGGCTGTACGCCCACTCTGGTCCTGGAGGGAGCGGTGGGACCCTTGGTGGCCCGGCGTGGGGACGGCGTGGTGATTGTGTTCATGTTTTTATCCTCCCTCTGAAACCCAGGGCCGTGAGACTTTGGTGCAGCTAAGTTATTGGTCCGTCTGCTGACGTCAAAGCGCCGCGGTTTCGGCGGCTGAGAGGACTGCATTGTGGGAATGGGACTTTTTTGGATATTCTGATATTTCTGTTGCTATGGAAACAAGTATTGTAGAGCCTCCAAACTATGACGCGCCGTGACAGTCACATCTTGGCGTGACTCCCAAGATCCTGTAACATCAAAGAAGACACACAGTGAATAACAAATACGAGCAGCTTCTGCTCATCGCAGAGCGATTTCTTACTCTACACATGTTTGCATATTAGGTTTAAGCTTTGAAGCGAACCCATCATCGAGACTATTCATTAAAAGCCAACTGCTTTTGAGGGTTTTCTGTTCTGTAATTATCACAGCCCGGGAAGTCACACACTGTGACTCACAGTTAGAGTAGCACATTGTCAAGCATTGCCCCTTAAAATAAATACGTTGAGAACTCTTAGTAGTTCATTTTAATTCCTCTGTGTGTGTGTGTGTTGAGGTGGGATTTTTTCTTTTAGTATTAAAGGTGAGCATACCAATCCAAACAATAAATGCAAAACCAACCAAAAGTAAAAAACAAACAAACAAATAAAATATTTAAAACCAGGTGCAGCAGATTACACTGCTGTGTAACAGGGTGTTAAATTATAACTGTACACTTTCACACAAAGTCTGTTTTACATTGTTTGAATTTTTATTATTATTTACTCCATCCTTTCAAGCATTTATCAAATATATTCATCTTAAACAGGTCAAATAAAGGTTAGTTTTTCCTGCAGGAAGTCAAACAAATCTGCTAACACATGCAGAGCAACCAGGATCATTACAGGTTTGATAGAAATATATAAGCCGGTGTGATGGTACTTAAATATAAGATTTGAAAACTAGATATCCAAATGCCATTCTGTCCTATCGTCAAAAAAAAATATGGAAAAGATTTGCTCTTTCCATCCCACAGCCTCTCCAGCAGTCAGCTTCACTGAAAGTGAATCAGCAAGAGTCATAATCAAATAATCATTTAACCCTGTGAGGTCTTAGTCATCATTGATAAGCCCTGACCATATGCTGTGGATACAAATCAAAGGGACTTTTTCTTGAGAAAAAATGCAAATAACTTTTTAGACTTTTTTTATACTGGCAAACTGGCTCTCTAACGTGGCAGTGGTTTACATCTTTGCCTAAAAAAATGAAAGATTTCCGGTTTGATCCTGGAAGGAAATCTGCCAAATTAAACATGAAGAGCTACTCACTGTGTCGGCCCCTTGTGAATGAGAGAGCAGCTAAAAGTAGCTCTATTATTTAGACTAGCAGAATTATTCTTAAAGCCAAAAATTAAATATTCTGACAGCTTTAGATATTAAATATTATATAAATATATTTAGATATTAAAATATTAAATATTCTGACACCTTAGGAATAAGATTTAGAGGTACTATGGTAGGTACTGAGACATCTAAAGACCACAGCTGGGACTCATCTGTTTGGAAAAATGTAGCCCTAACATATAAAATGTATGTTAGGGCTTAAAATGACTATTAATATGATCAAAAATATTATTCAGATCTGGGCACCTGTCCAGAGTGAACCCTACAATATCTGGGATAAGCTCCAGCGTCCCTGGGAATAATAATATCCACATAAACAAAAAATTACATTGTCATAATGGTGAGATGATGCAAACGGTGATAATAGTGTAATACAGAAGGTGGTGTCTTCCATACAAAATTTCGAATACTTAATTCCTGCAATCTTGCAGCTAAATAGATACTTTTAGAGCTTCTCTATTTGTATGCAGTGCTTCTGCAAGATACCTGCACGGCTCCTTTCATCTGCTGGTTTCACACAACACCCAACTATTCAAACACCCACCCACACACATGAAATGATTCTCCTTGTAATAATAATTGTCAGCTAATTTATAGTCTGATAACTGTCATCAGTTATGCTCGTCTTCACTGGGCTATGATATTCATGGAAATCTGGATCAAAAGAAACAAATCGTAAATAACGAATAAAACACACATACATTTAAGTGGAGCATGAAATAATCACTCAGCGGTAGAGAACAACACCCAGTCTGCTTTTTAAAAGCCCATCTACTGAAGGCTATTGCTCATATATTCCTCCACAGTGCCCTTCACATCACTGAAGAATATAAATCACTGGAGTGCCTGTTTACACTGCTGGGCCTCCGTCGGGATGGCCCTTAGCAAACTAAGCCTTGAAATAAAATATAAAACACAGCATACCGTCATATGTAATGCAATCCGTCCTGTGCTCAGAGTTTAACCCTGTATCTATTGATCCCACAGAGCTGATGGAGACAGGGGTGGATGGGTGGAGGAGGGAGGAGGGGAGTACCTCCAACCCGCATCGCTCTGATAAACGGGCCCATACGCCCCTATTACAACTCAGACAAAAACCATCATTTTCACACTACAATTAGAACAGACAAAACAGTTATTTGCGTATTTACGCAAAGCTATCTAATCCGACAAATGCCACCGCGAACAGAGGAATTTATTGTCTTATCCTACGCAGTCTCGGGGGGGTAAGAGGAGGATTTTCTTACCCGATCGTCTCATGCAGGTTCGCTTGAAAGACATCTACATGCACGATAAAGCTGATAAAAATGCACTTGACTCACATTCAAATAAAGATGGATGAAGGTCTCCATCTCGTCGGGCTCTCTCACATCCCCAGTCCGTGAGAATGTGAATCTCGAATAGCCTCAGCATCTGTCTTCTCGCGAGCATCCAGAAATCCCCCCACCTCCCCCGATCAAACCACACCCCTTACCCCTCGCCTTATCATCACATTCAGTTAATCTATAGTCCTTTTTAGCTTTGCCTCCTTAAAATAATGAGTCTCAAGTGTTCACCCCCCAATTATCATGATTTATGCATTTGGTGATTTCTTTAACAGAAAATTAACTCATATAAAAAAGTCAGATTTAATTGCGTTTAACTGCAATTTAAATACATATAGAAAAGGACAAAATTATTATCCTCTCCCAAGAGGAGAGTCGCCACTCATACACACACACACACACACACACACACACACACACACACACACACAATTATTTCTATTTGTACATAATAACAAAATTATTTCAGAAACAAATACCATGACCAAAATTATTAGCCCGCTGAAAAACGGATCTTTTTATTGAGCTATATCATGAACCACTGCTGTGCAATGACATGCTATTATTTTGTAGTGCTCAAAGCTCAAGCTGACGGTTATCCTCCAAGTTAAACACAGTATAAAAATGTTAGCAAGGGTTTGAGTCGTCACTTAAGTAAAAATCATGCCAAAAACAGAAGATATCAGTTAAGAGTCGAGAAAAAGACTTATTCATGCTGATAAAGCAGTAGATGGATATAAAACAGTATCACAGCATATCCAAGTGTCAAGAACTGGAGTGAGAAGTATCATCAAGAAATTCAAAGGGAGCCACACAATACAGACCAAGTCTCGTAGACGTAGGAAGCAAAAGATTTCAAACACTCTGGAAAGAAAAACTGTGAGAAATTTTGAAGTCAGACTAAAGTATGCTGAGTGCTTTCCTCAGATGAGCTGAAACTAGAGCAGGGATGCTGCTTATGTTTGGAGAAAGAAGGGAGAGAAATACAACCCAAAGAACACCCTCCCTACAGTGAAACAAGGTATTTGGGGGTACATCATGGTGGGGATGCTTCAGTGCATTTGGAATTGGGAATCTCATGAAAGTGGAAGGAATCACAAAGAAATAAGGACATGTGAAGATTCTGGAAGAAAACCTCAAGCAGTCATCGCTTTGTTTTCCAAGGTGACAGTGACTTAAAACATTTGTTGCCTCTGTTGAAGAACTGCTTCCAGACGGCCAAAGTGAACATTACAGACTGGTCTGCACAAAGCCCTGACTTTGTAAATCTGTCGGGAAGACCGAGGTCCATGCCAGAAGACCATCAAATCTGGTGGAGCTTGAGAGCTAGAACTGACTACAGACTGCAAATTGGACACACCATTGACTATTAGCATCATGGTGGTTAATAATTTTGATTTGTGTGAGGAAAGTAAAATAACGCAAGCATACAAAATAAAACCAGGATGTTTGGAAAAGCTGTGCTAAAAAAAAAAAAAAAATCCTGTCTCTTTAAACAACATAACACCACACAAAAAGATGAAATGTACACAACCATGTTTGTTCATACACTATATATTATTTATTAAAAGCAATAAATTCTTGGCTAGTACGGACTTTAAACACTATAAAACATATGGAACAGTTTGTCAGTTTTCATCATCTGTCCTCTGCCATCAGCATCCACCCATTTATTATGCAATCAAAAAAACATTAATCCATCATCCCTCTCATGTGTTCCTCAGTTCAGGCACACTGAAGTTAAATCAGACCCTTTGTGATTCACTCCAAAGTTATCCTTCTATCAGTCAGATTCCTCTGACAGAGGACATCGTCTATTAAACAAAGTCCTGACTGAGTTACACTGCTGAAGTCTGAAACACTTTATTTAAATAAGTGAGGACCTGCTTGTGCGTATTCATAAGAGTCACCAGACTTGTGTATTTGATGCTGTTAACATATTTTCTACAAAGCAGCAAGCCCTCTCACTTGTTTCTCTTGTAGATTTTTTGGGCAAAATTGAGGAAAACAGAGTGAGGAAGGTTTTGTGCGTGGCTGGCGATGAGTTTCTGGAGGCGCTGGTAGCTTTCCTCTTCATATTTTTGGTACAATGATGGCATCTGCAGGCTGTTGTACAGTGCTTTGACCTTTTCCACACTGGCTTCATCATGTTGTCCATAACATCCCTGAGGAGGAGATCAAAATGAACTTGTTAACACTAACAAATGACTCTAGTCATGAGTCTAAACAAGGTGGGAACAGATGAACGTCAAAGAATTAAAGGTGTAGAAGTTTTAATACCGACTTAAACTGTACCAATGATCACATACGTCAGGGGAATTTTCTGGATGCCCAGAACATTGAATATCTGCTAGTAAGCAAAGTTAAGGGTAAGATTAGCAATTTTATGTCATATGACGCAAACAGAGCTGAACCACTACTCCACCAGAAACTAGTATTGATTTCTTATAGAAGACGCAAGCCAGCAAAGCGAGCTTTAGAGCATAGAGCTGCATAACTGCCAGCACTAAATCAAGTTGCTGTGTAGTTTGTTGTAGTTGGATGTATCTCAACTTGTTGTACAACAAGCAGACAATAGAGTGTAACCGTTGACTGGTCTCTATGGCATGTGACTGAGGCCCTAGCAACATCTGGCGATGCCAAGGACTAATTTCTGCAACCAGCTGACATGAATAATGAAGCTACCCCGGCAGCAGATCTAGATGTTTATTCTATCCTACTGCAGAGTCTAACGACAGTATACACAAACAGTGGTTACTCTCTTGTCCGTATGAAAATTCTCTCTAGATGAGATGCTATGTTAACTCAAAATCACCCCCTTAATTACAAAGTAATATTACAAGAATGTAAGGGACAGGGCTAGATAGAGAGATTGCTACTTTCTCTGCAACATAATGTATTAATACGGTTAATATTATTATTTTGCTCATTATATCAGTTGATTTAAAAACGAAAAGTTTTAAAACTAACAACCATACAAATGCACATTTAAAGGATAAAAAACAAGAGCACGTACAGCTAAGCATCATCAAAATGAAAATTCTACACAGTGGCAACCCAACTCTGCCACATATTTATAAATTTTACGTGATCAGAAGAGAAGCATTTATTTAATGAGGCCCAACCTCTAGTTCTTCTCTCTGCTTAGGAGTCATGATTTCCAAAGCTGTCACAACCAGCCAGCTGCATTTGTTGTCCTGAATGTCTGTGCCAATCTTTCCTGTCACAGCAGGGTCACCGTAACAGTCCAAGTAATCATCCTGTGACAGAATACATCAGATGGTCATTAAAACAGAATAGTCAGCAGCGTATTATGCAACACGTGCAGCTAACGAATGGGAAATATTATGCTATGAAGGTCAATGACGAGGAAAAGTAGCTACTTGTATTTGAAAGAACTCCCCCATCTCAAGTAAGATGTGCTTGGTGTTGCTGTGCTCTTCTTCACTGTTGATTCCTGCCTGGAAAAGAAAAAAAGGTACAAAGAGTGTTTTAAAGCTGTATTATTTTACCTCCATTTTTATGCAACATGAAGTTGACACACTCACCATATACATCGCAGCTGCCACTGGGAGGTAAAATGAATAAAAGGCAGTCTTGTATTTTACGATTGCTTTATACCTTAAAGACAAAAAAAGAAAAAGAAATAAATACTTATTGCAATAAACAACACTCATCTTTCAACACTCTCTCCCCTTCTTACCTTTCGATGGTGAATCTGTGGAGGTCAATTTGTCTGGGTGGAGCAGTCATGAGATCCAGAGCCTGACCGAGTTCTGTCTGGAAAGTGACCTGAGGGGAAAAGAAAGAAGAAAAAACACAAGGTAAGTAAAAACTCACAAGTACTTGAGTTTCTGAAATAACTGTTCGGTCACTTAATAAGAAAATGTTTTGACAGCTGATGAATAATTTGAGAGATTTTAATTAAAGAATTAGGAAACTGTGTTGAAAATTTTGTGGTTAGTTTGTATGACAATCTAAATATGCAGGCTGATTAAATTGGTTGGCTGAACAAAACACACATCAGCAAGATGACAGTGTTGGCTTGAGGAAAATGTTGTAAAGGACATTTTTTCTCTTCCCTCTATGGCAGCTGGGAAAGGCTCCAGCCACCTCCCCACTGCCACGAACGGGATAAGCGGTAAAGAAAATGGATTGAAGGATGTTTTGCATTTTCTGAGGAGTAGTTTGTGGACAGTGGACAATGCTGAAGATGACTAAGTGTTGAGCCGGATTTAACTATGCAATAATATATTGCTCAAGCTGGACATTTGAGTGAAATCATGCGTAACCACAGTCATAACCTCTTCAGCAGTCTCTCAGTTGGCTTTTAAGAGCCGTTACTGCATACATTTTACGAACGAAGTGATGAATTTGCTCCCAGATGCACAAGCACACTTTCAGCCAAGAAGACTCACTTCGTTGAACAGCTCCAGGAGGTGAATATAGTAGGGCTGATCTCTGCAATATCTGCGAAGCAGTCTGTAGATTGACCCCTCTAACAGAAAGGAATCATTAATGGCATCCAGACCTATACCATCCTAAAAAAAAACAAAAACAAGCAAATCAATAGGTAGGATTTATATAGGTAACCAGAGGGAAGTGGGAAAATAACCACAGCACAAACTCATACTAGTCTCCTTTTCTGGAATATATTAAGTCTCACCTTCTTGTACCAGCAGGGTTGCCCTCTCCGAGTGACAGATCCATCCATGATGTCATCTGCCACGAGGAAAAACGCTTGAAGCTGCAAGTATCAGACACACAGCGGCAACACCTAAATTAGAAAACGTAGCACTTGTGCAAAGTGTCAACGCTACAGTCAAGAGTCTGCTCGTGAGAGAAAGTTTTAAAGACACACAACCTGCATATTCAAGCTACCTTCCTGTCAATTTAGTGAAATCCAGCCTCAACAATGATTAAAGATAAATCACGATTAAACATGATTGCAGATGAGGATAGTGTAAAGTTACTGGTTAAAGTAGTAATGATATTGTTTGTACTGCTTATTGTGGTCCCAAGCCCCTACTGAAGATTGCAGACTTTAAAGGAGGTCATAACTATGTAGTGCAATCTTTTAAAGCAGCTTAACAT